CTGTTCTTCAAAGGTGGCTTGAATCCTTTCCGCTGATAATACGATGTTTATCTCTGCCGGCAGCCCTGGGCCAAGTCCGCCGTCACCTGCGTGTGGTGAGTGCCGGATATTAGAGACGCATCGTTAGGCAAAGGGCGATTACGGGGGTTAGCCAGGGGAAAGGTGTTGATGCACCTACCGGGCTTTGCGTGCCAGCGCCGAGGGGCAAGGCACGAAAGGGAGAGCTTCAGGAACTTGCCCCTGGATTGTGGGTTCGGGGGACTAGGTGGTCTTTCTGAGGTTTAGGCTGCGCCGAGGGAAAGACAAGCTTCTTTTGCACATTCTTCAGATGCTATTGCTCCAGCGGCATTATCATTAGGAAATCTAAGGACTGCCCAAAAAGTCTTTCCGTGGCCACAGTGATTCCCACCTGGATTAACAGCTAGCTCCCTCCTAAAAACCAAGTGAGACATCGTGCTCCAGAACAATGGGCCCCAACCACACAGCATGAGCAAAAGACGCGCGATGTTGTTCCTTTTTCTAGGCAAAACATAAGCTGGTCCCTTTGCCCAGCCCTACTGCCCCGATTGGCTGGGCTCTTTGCCTCTGCTGATCCCGCGCCCAGACATATCGTATCCTCGCTGATCCACGGTGTGCGATGTTGAAGTGCATTCCTACGAAGCATCCTGGAGCACGCCGCCGTCCTGGATTTAGTGTTGGCATGAGCAACATCGCCAACCGCGGTATCTGCCGTCCTCTCTTCCCAATGCATATCCAGGGGTTCAAATCCCCTTTGCCGACTCCAGCAGCTGTCACGCCAGCGTAGCGTCCCAAATAGTCCTCCTAACCGAATCGTACCGTCTGCTCGGCGCGTGGAGCTGGATTATCCCCGTTAGCATCAATGTCTCCCGACCGCGAATAACGTGGCTTCTTGGCCAACTGAGGCTGGACCAGGTTGACTCCCGGAGACGAGTTGCTCTGAGAGGGCAAGTGTCTGCGAACGGCCAAAACGGGCTTGCTGTAGGCTCTTCTCGCCCCCCTATTGCGACTTACACCAAAAACGGCAATTGTGGCGCACACTTCTGGATTGCCTCAGCCGCAGCAAAGGGAGGGACTTTGCGGGATATGGAACGAACACACGCGAAACGGTCTGCCCACTCTCCCTTAGCCATCGGTATCTCCCCCTCCAAGGGGGGATCTAGAACTAGACCAGAGATGATGGCCCTATCCAGCATTCTTGTATAATATTACCAATGTCCCGTTCCCCCCGTCTGACCTGAGAATGGCTCTTCAGGTTTTCCCTGCCAGGTCTTCCTCGTCTTACACCAGAACCCCAAGCGGCTTCAACTCCAGCTAGGAGCCCTTCCTCTCTCCCGGCCTCTGGTGATACTCCCCCGTCAACCAACTGCAACGATGTATCTCACCCACCACCAAAAGCCGCCGACCTCGCCCATCTGGACGCAGCCCCTCCAGCACACGGCAAGGTTCCGGTACAGGACGCTCTACATCGCCTCTGCCTTCACCCTGCTCTCCCTCTTCTGGATCTGGGGCAGCCACCGGGGCTCGTTCTACTTCGGCAGCGGCCATGGCCGCACGCTGATGCCGTCGGCCGTATGGAGGACACACACCTCGCAGCTCATCCCGCCCAAGATCTGGCAAATCGTGCTGCCCAAGAAGACGCCGCAGTCGGACAAGGATCTGGTCATTGACGCCGAGAAGCTGGGTAGCTCGGCGACGTGGACCGCCATGAACCCTGGATACGAATAGTAAGCTTCACCCATCCCCTCGAAACCAACTGTTCCCCAAACACCAATCTAACACACGACCCCCAGCACGCTCATGGGAGAGACCTCCGCCCTCGAATACGTCACCCGCCACTTCGCAAAGGAGCCCCGCATCATCGACGCCTACAAGAACATGCCCAACGTCGGCATGAAGTCCGACTTCCTGCGCTACCTCATCCTCGGCCTCGAGGGCGGCGTCTACACCGACACCGACACCGTCGCGCTCCAGCCCATCGACGACTGGGTCCCGCCACACCTGCGCGACCGCGTGCGCCTCGTCGTCGGCATCGAGTTCGACCGCCGCGACGGCAACGGGTGGTACGACATCCTCCACTGGGTGCAGTTCTGCCAGTGGACGATCGCGGCCGCGCCGGGGCACCCCGTCTTCCGCAAGATGGCGCAGCGCATCCTCGGCGCGCTCGACGGGCTGGCGGCCACGCACGAGGTGCCCGTCAACGAGGTCAAGCCGACGAGCACCGAGGTGATGAACTCGACGGGCCCCGCGGCGTGGACGGAGACGGTGTTTAAGCAGCTGCAGGAGTACGACAGCGATCTGACGGACATCAAGAACCTGTCGTATATCACGGAGCCGAAGTTGGTGGGCGACGTGCTGATTCTGCCGATTGATGGGTTCGGGATGGGGCAGCCGCATTCGAATAGTACGGTTGGGGAGCCGCCTAAGGAGGCGTTGATGAAGCATCTGTTCCATGGGTCTTGGAGGGGGGAGTGAGGGAGACATGAAGTTGGAGATGGGATGGCTAATGGCGTCGGCGTAATGGGGATCTGGGTTAACGTGGGATGATATCACTACTTCTTTTGTCATATACTTAGAGATGATGAACCTATTTCAAAGCCTTGGTTTGATGATTCCCAAAACATGAATAGTCTGAAACATGAGTCTTTCCTCTTGATGTCTCTGCATATCCCTCTTCACGGATCGTTCCGCCTCACTGATGACTTCCATATCATAGTAGAAACGTCAATTTCGAATCTGTCCCGAACGTCACTTTTAATGGTTTGAAAATGCTAAGGGATTTTCGTTTTACGATAACAGACTCACTAACACTTTTAATTGTCTGTGGAATTAGTTTGGGGTTCCTGTGTAATTAGCCTGGAAGATGATGTTGAAGTTGCCATCCTCAGGTTGAAGTTACCGCTAATTTCCTCTTTGGGTCGTCACGCAACCCCTTCGGCAGCTACCCGAATTATCCCGGCGGCACAGTAGTTCCAACATACCGCCATTCCGGAACATCCCCCTGCCGATTGAAGAAGAAAATTCTAATTAGGACCCACGGCGAGGCTAGAATGGATGACCACGTCTGCGCTCAGGTCCAGAATCAAGGCTCCTATCCAATTAGTTGAGGTCAGCGAACATACACGCCTAGTGAGCAGGTAAATGAATCGGCATTGCTGGGAAGGCGTTCAGATATCACCGATATGTCTTCTCGAGTGCTGGCGACATGTAAGGCCCATCGTAGCATCAAGCTTCGAGGCAGCAATGCATTTGCGACTTCAACAACTTCGACGTTGCAAACACGAACACCATCTCCCGCTACCAAACACCCTAATGGAGCGCGTCTACTGGCTTTGGACGGAGGTGGCGTCCGCGGAATCATGTCTCTCATCGTCTTGCAAAACATCATGAAACGAATCCAAGTCAGGAGGGGCTTGAAAGAGGAGCCTCGTCCAGTGGATTACTTCGAGCTTGCTGCTGGAACAAGCACTGGAGGTATCATTGGCCTCTTGCTGTTTCGATTCCGCATGACGGCTACCGAAGCCATCAAAACGTATGACGAGATAGCCAAAGACATATTCAAGCCCAAGATTTACGGCTACTCCATCGACTTTCTTGGTCAGAAGGTTTCTTCTTGGGTTAACAACAGCAAGTCTGTAGTCCAGAATAGTCGGTTCGATGGCGAATCTCTCAAAAAGGCCGTCCAACGGGTAGTCGCAGACCATGGTCTGGACCAGGACGACAAGACGTTGAAGGGAAATGCCCTACTTCAGCACCCGGCGGCTGGCAAGATGTAAGAATACCAAAATGACGCCCATCTTCGTAGCCTCGGGATGCATCATTAACCAAGTATGGAAATACGTAGGATCATATGCACGACGGCTCAAGACAGGGCCGAAACGGCTTTGATGAAGACATACAAGGACAACAACAACTACGTCTCCTCGATGGCAAACGACATCATGAAAGAACACCGCGACAAAATCACAATCTGCCTCGCAACGAGGGCGACGTCCGCCGCGCCGACGTACTTCCCCGAAGTCAAGTGGCCCGAGGGAGCGAAAAGGCAATTGACGTTTTGGGACGGCGGCCTTCTCAACAATAATCCTATCGACCAGCTGTGGAACTCGAGATATGACCTAGTGAAGCCAGGCGAGCCGGAGCCCAAGATCTCCTGTGTGATCAGTCTCGGCACGGGGTGGGAGAGGGCGGATTCGCCCACGGACTCTTTGCTCAAGATCACAGGGGTGCTGTCGACCGTGATGGCCTTCTCGACCAACACGAACGCCAAGGCCAAGGACTTTTCGCGGCACATATCGATGCTAAATCAGCGTGCTGAGCATGCTGATACCAAGTACATCAGATTCAACCCGTCGCTGGGGAGGAACAAGATTGGCCTTGCGGATTACAACAAGATGGAGTTGTTGAAGAAACTAGCGAGGAACTCTGTCACGCATCCGAAGGCGCATGAGTGGATTGAGAAGGCGGTCGATGCCATCTGTCCGAAGGATGCATGACTACTTATTACCTACCTTGTGTGATCTAGTGTAAGATATGTACCTGTACGAAGAATCAGCAATGTTTTGTGATTCGTGCCGAATAGTCCATACCTTGATAAGCAGTAGTTCACAAAGCTTGATTGATAACAACCATGAAATGGCTGAATTATCCACGTTCAGAGTTCGAGCTCAGATAAATCGTCTTCAAAGATTTCACCCTTCAAAAGTTGTCCTTCCTCCATCTTTGGAGCAGGAACAGGCAGAGACAACTTTCTGCGACCAAGAATCCTGGATTTAAGGGACGGCGAATCGAAAACTACCAGTGTCAAAATGGCTGGAAGTAATCCTCAAGAGAGACAAACGAGTTCCCAGGAGGAACGGGAAAGGCCGTTACAATCAACCAACCAAACTTCTCTCCCGTTTGAGATCAGACTCATGATTGCAGAACTGGTGATACAGGAAGAGGAAAGGGCACGAGAAAATGCACGAGAAAGGGCACGGCCAATGAGAAGGTACCAGCAGGAGCTAAGGGCACAGAAAGAACAAAGAACGACGAGGCTGCTGCAATTGGTAGCGGCTGGTGCAGAATGGCAGGCCATTATCGAGAAGAAAGCGCTTGCATCCTTGAAGCTACAATCAGTGGCTGACATATTGCGGCTGGGACGAATCGTCGACCGCAGACGAGAACGCTACATCAAGAGGATCCGCTTACATATTGAATTGGCAGATTACGGCCACGACGTATGCCAGCTTGCCGAGGACAAGAATACCATGAGAAAGAACAATAGGATATTCAGTCGACATCTTATACTTCTTCTCAATACCCTCTCCCAATGGAAGGACAGCAGCGGTGTGACGTTGGACCTCAGCGCTGCTTCACGCAGCGACGCTCTGCACAGCTTCAAGAAGCTGGAAAGAGATATGGACGACTGGGCGTGGGCGGATATTTCATTGACTCATGGTTGGGGTCTCGGGGCGAGGAAACGTACCCTGGGGAGCCTGCTGAACTTGGTTTCCCACAACAATGTCCAGGTCGTCCTGCCACCGGTCCCAGCCGTGGCCAGATTCATTCTTACCCGACGTCACTTCCGAAGCTTTTCCCCTGAAACTGTGAGGCTAGTCCTTGGATGCTTCCCGAATCTGGAACAGGTTGCATATGAGCCTTACGCAGGCCTTGACGCCAAGAGTCAGAGTGAGCGTGACGCCGCAAATACGGCCTTGCTGAGGAACCTTCCCAATTTCACTCGGACCGTATCGCTTTGGGAATACGATAGGGTATGGCTGAACGAAGATCCCCCCAAGAACATTGACCATGACTTGGTGCTAGCTGCGGTGGAAGCAAGCCACCGTCTGGAATCCCTCTGCGTCACATTCGCCTTAGAAGCGCACGACTTCTTCAGCGCGAAGCCTCCGTCAAGTTTTGCTCCGTGGCGCAGCCTCCACACTCTATCTCTGACGTCAAGCTACCTAACGGCAGACTCTGCGTTGGCGAACAAGGTTCTGCTCGCGGCGGGAGAGAAGGCACAACTCATGCCCCAGTTACGGATCATGGAATTGTGGCATCATGCTCGGGGGAAATCTAGTGGAAGATTAGGGTGCTTTTTGTTTCGGTATGAAGCTGGGAACGGACTGGTGAGGGCCACCGTTCACCGCGACAAGTTGTCGGCGTTTAGCCTCGCGAAGGAGGTCAAAGAGGCTTGGAAAGCTGTGGCCGGAGGCATGCTTGAGTTTCGAGTGATAGTTTTGGAGCAGTTGTATGCCTCTTACATTCAGTATCCTACGGCTGGCAGGCTCCACGGAGTATTGAGGCAGGATTTGGGAGGTGGCCCTGCAGGGATGGGAACGTGAAGTGTGGACATGTAGGACGACGCACTCTATCAGTCACATCTCCATAGGAATGTGGGGTCATCGCTCAGATCTGCTTGCGATCGTGGCGAGGGGACCATGTCTTTTTTTGCATTTCACGAACAAAAGCAGAGGCCTCATAAGGCAAATTGGGGTAAAGGTGGATCGGGCGTTGACTTGGGTTCAAAGAGTTCATAGGTACGGAGCCGTGGAAGAAGAGCTTTCTCACACAAGGTAGAAAGCTTAGCCGAGGAATCATACGTTCTACCCATCACTCTTAGAGATATCATCCTGTGTTGCGCCTTTTAAGTTGCACAAAGGATCTTTCGAGGGTCGGTGTCATTCTATGAAACATTCAATGATTCGATCTATAGCTAAAATGCTATAATTCAGACTTCAGGAGCTGTGGGTGCCTCTTGCTCAGGCTTACGGGCGTATACAAGATGCCTTGCAGATATTAGCAACGTACTTCAGTTCGAAACGTCGACTTACAGTTCCATGATCGGCTGGATGCTGGTATCCTTCAGGGCCTTTCTCATCTCGCTGATGAAAACGATGACCTCTGCATACTCCCAGCCAAGAATCTCCTTGAGTAAAAATGTCCCGAATCCCTCTAGCGACTGGTCGAGGAACTCTAAGGATGATGTGCCGACCTCCTTCAACGTGGGATCCTTAGCCCATGGGCCGATAGGGATAGGCCACTTCTTTTCGACGACGTCAATGAAACCAGCCTCGCGGAGAGCCTTGGCGATGCCGTGATCGTGGACCTGGTTTGGGATCTTGCCTATCTTGTCACAAGCCTGGCTAAGGAACTTGCGCCAGTTCTTGAAAGGGTGGTCCTCGGGAAGAGTCTGGATCTGAGAGCGGCACTCAATATCCATCTCCTTGATCTCGATGTAGCCGCCGGGCTTCATAGTCTCGAAGGCCTTCTTATAGAAGTCTACCCAGTTGGATACACTGCCTTCCATGTTTCGAACATGCACAAAGTCGAAGTGAGAGTCGGGGAAGGTCCAATCCTGTTCAATGTCGTCGATTTGGAATTTGCAGTTAGGCGGGACCCAGCCCGGCTGGATAGGCGAGATGTCAACGCCAATGACATCGGCTGACGGGAACTCATCGGCAAAGTCGCTGTTAAGATGGTCAGCCGGTGTGCCCATCGCATCTCAATCTGTGAACTCACATGGCCCAAATACCAGTTCCAGTACCAACATCGAGAACATTCTGATCAGATTGTCAATCATTTGTTCGTCTGCCGTCGTCTCAAGGTTCGCTTCATATTACCTGAGGGCTGTCGCCAAGGGGTGCAAGGAACAGTTTATCGCCAAGGAACAAGGTCATCCAGTAGTGACTGTGGGAATGTCGTGTTAGTACCCGTCACGAAAAGCTTATATTTATAGACCATACTTAATCTCCAGTCCCTCGTTCTGCCTTTCGTCATTGGGGCCCCAGTAGTCGGTCTTCTGGGTGTAGGTACGTCCATGAATGCGACGGTACTCGGTAATACTTTCGCTCAAAGACGCGGTCGAAGATGTGCGAATGCTTCGGAAATGTCAGTCGATGAGTAACCTCTGGCAATCGCCTGTGTATCTTTACCTCTCTGTTTCCGCCTGAGACTCATTGTCGGTCTCGTCGGCGGCGACATCCTGGTGGCGTTATCAAGTCAGCTGCCATCTCGTGGAGAACGGGTGTGGACTCTAGGAGAACCTACAGGATTGATGGGTCCGTCGTCGGGGACGTTGGCTGGGGGCGGCGAGCTAGTTGGCACAGCGGCTTGAGTTGGTGAGGCAGACATCGCGACTACTATTGAAGGTCTGAGGTGAAACAGTTTGGAAAAAGGAAATCAGGGAACAAAATCCGAGGGTTTGGTTCCAGGCCAAAAGACTAGTTGTGAAAACAAAACCCCGCAGAGGGGCCCTCCTCTTTTCGGAAGTGGTTCGTTATTTGTCTGTTGGTTCTCCATGCACGCACATCTGCAAGTCGGCTGGGCTCGCTAAGAATACCCAACAACCCGGCTTCCCCGGCGAATGAAAAGCCTTGCTCACAGCGGCTTCTTGGCCTTTTATGGCAGCTGTGAAGCAATTTACGACTATTGGCCGGGTAAGGCACGGGGTTAGAGCCGGTTACGGGTACCCAGCCTGCGTTTGTCTCCAGCATCCTGTCAACCCCCTGCCCACTGCAATCGGGACCAGCCACGGGGGCGACTTTTACTGAAGTATCGTCCCATCGGTGCGAAGTCTCGTAAATGCTTGATATTCATGAGAGACATCATATGCCTTGAGTATACGAGCTCAGTATGTTTTCCCAATCCGTGTCGCACCAGATCTGTTGCTCGCTCCCCATGTCCGCGAACATGAAGTCAGAAAAGCTCGAGTTCTCGTTGGGGGTTTCGACCTCCGTTCTCGTCTGCTCGGTCAACCGCTCCTCTTCTTGAACCCTCATAACCATCGCCTCGACATCGGATAGCAATGCGTCGTGGTCTTTCGCAGCGGGGTTACCGACGCGGGCCATCTCTCGTAGAAGCTCTCTCGTCCGAGAGTAGAGGGCCGCATCATGATCTCCTGACGAAGGACTTGAGATTCGGTCGCAATTGATTGATACGCGCGCGAGAGCTAGGATAGATAGTCCAGAGAAAAGATGGAGGGACTCCCAATATCCGAATTTTGCTGTTGACGAGACACTCTGTGAGCAATCTAGGGAATCGTGGAGAATAGTGAGCCCTTACCGATCTTGTCGTAATTCCAAAGACCGAGGAGAATCTTGCAATTGTTGCGAGCTGCTTGAAGACATTGCATCTTGACAGCTTTCATTGCGTCTCCCCCACCGTTTGATGGAAAGCCTGAGCGACCAGAGCTTGCTTGCTGACTATTAAGTCGACGCGTCTGGACTATGGATGAAAGTCGTTGAAGATAGAGAGGTCTCAAGAGTAAGATGGAACACTATTAATGGTTAGTAACAGTGTCTAATATGTCACTAGCCAAGATCGGGACCTGCCTGGTGGTATCTCATATAGATCGAGGCCAGGATCCGCCCGTATTGCGCTTCCATTAGTCTGGTAGGAAGGCTATCCTCAAACGTGAAGGTCATGTTGCTCGGTAAGTTAGCTCTCCAATCCTGGAGCATGTCGATGCAAGGTTTGACAATGTTCAGTCGCCTCTCGTCATCCACGTCTGAATGTTGCGCGGCAGTGATTACAACATGACGCTTTATCTCGCACAGCTGAGTTGACGCAGCCAGAAGACTTGGATTCGAGAACTGTTCCAAGTCTTCAGGAGTGAGCCCAGCTGAGCACGGTAGTTGCATTCCCTCGGGGACAGATGCAAGAGCGGGCGACACTCCCAACTCGGTGCTGATCATTCGGTCCATGCAATATGATGTCCACCAAAGTCTCTTTCTGTGCTCATTCATAATTCGAACATTCTGGTCTGCGTCAGTTGGCGTTTGCGCGGTCACTGGTTTGTGAAGCTGCAGGAGCTTGGCAAGGGCACAGCTTTGACTAGCGTACGAGTACGCCGTTTTCCTCCGATTCAGTGAATAGCAATAGAAAGCCTTGAAACCGGTCAGCTCTGGCTCTTGGTGACTTCGGATTTGACTTGCAATGAGATTGAGAGCTTCAACATCTTCTGAGACCGGCTCCTCGGACGACATTTTCAGCAGCATCAAACCCTGCTCAAAATAGTCTGACCCTGGCGGCGGTGGTGGTGCTTGTGGCGTTTCAGAAGACTCCGAGTTAGACGTTGGTGAGGAAGATATCGGAGGCAGGATGCCGTAGGGACTAGCAGGCTGTTCTCCAGTGAGCTGCATGTGTGTGGATGCAGTCATACGAGACCGATTGAAGCTTTCAGCTAGAGCCAGAACAACAGACACTCTGCAGAGCCAATTGCGGTCTTTGGATTGGGAACTGGGGTCAGAATATGTCAACATCAGTCTGTCCCGGAAATTCTTGCGGAGAAACCAATGGTATTCGCTGAAGCCCTCCTCAAAAGCTTGGAGGAGGTGAAATGCGTATGGTCTTGGGGGAAGTCTGAGATGCACCTCAGGATCTACAGAACTCGGAGTTAGTCTTCTCCTCTCGTCTTTGATTGATCAACTCACGCAAAAAGTCGAACTTGAGACGAGAGTATGTGTATTTCTCCTTCCGAGAAAGTAGTGTATGGAAGAACTTTTCCGTGCTGCAGTCTTCCGGCATCTCTTCTTTGATGGTTCTACTGGTCTTTGGAGGAGACATGGGCGCAGCAAAGTCGGGACTGTGAACGTCTGTTTGAATAGGCTCCGGTGCATGTGACGAGTTCGAGGGCGATTGATTTGATCCTCTCCGAACGGAAGCCAGCTCCTTTTCGAGCATTCGCAAATAGCTCTCCGACACAGTCGTGAACTTTTCCTTGACCGGGTAGACACACTCCCGACGGCGCACTTGGCAGCGCTGACACGGAGTTCCTGAAATCCTTCATCAACGCCATGTACCTTGCTCATTGAGCGGCAGTGGAAGACGTACCTCCATTGCATTTGAGCTTCTGTCCATGACAAGCCTTGCATGCCACAGAACTGCGGCCCTTCTGCGCTGGACTTGTCACCATGACGACGTTATTACCGGACCGATTGACTTGCTCAGTTGAGTATGCTAACGGCCCGATGTCTGCGAGGGAGCGATTCAAAACGGCAAACGCCAAGACGAAATTGAGACGAGCGATACCGGAGGCGAGATCCAAGCTGTTGGGATTGTGGCAGGGAACAGCATCGACGCGTGCACATCAATTGCGATAACACCGCATGGGATGGGTGCGGAGGCCGTCTTGATAACGGCCGGGGCGTCCAGCTTCCCATTTAAGGAGCTCGCAGAGGGGTTGTACATGCTGTTAGCGATGCCAGGCGGGGCGGCATGCATCGGCCCCAGACGCTAAGTGGTGGATATTCAGCGTAATGGTGTCGCACCGCTTTGCTCTGCGAATCGTTGATGATGCAGGGATTGGGGTTTCTGGGAAGTTGGGGTTTCATGGTGTTTAGTAGGTAGTCCTTGAGTTTGGGACTCGGTGTTGGAGATGATTGTTTGTGGAACGGGTGGCTACCTCGCTTTCCCGCCAGATGGCCAAGTCAAGGGCATGTCAGTGGCATTTGGTGTGCATTTGGCCCCTGACGCTTGGGAGAAAATGATGAGTCGGATTCCAGGGTGTTGTGGTTGCATGTTTGCTCTGCCCGGAAGCATTTCCGGCACTCATCGATCGGCTCATCATTGCACCATCTCGTCCTCCGGGTCCTCTTCCGCTCTCAGATTACGAGCAGAGAAAGAGCCTTGTCACTTCCCAAACCTTGATGTATTGTTTTTAGGATCTTCTACGGCTTCGACAACACATGTGAAGTAATTAGTGGGAGCGACCGGAGCACTGCCAGGGTGGGAACTAGTGCAGAATGAGTCTAGTGTACGAGGAACGAGACGGACGGCTCATCCCGCAGATCCCGCTTGAATCATACGAAATCCTTCATGGTCTTAGTTGTCCACAAGCCTCAACGTTCATCATTGCGGAATACCTTAGTCTACGATAAACGAAATACGGCATGCTGCTCATTTTAGAAGCCTAGTACAAACTCTCACCTGCTTCTAAAGCCTGAGAGAGAAGTAGAGCTTAGTAGGAATAGCCACATTTTTCAAGAATTTCAACAGATATAAATTATGTCCTGCAAAGTTTTAAGGAATCTAACAACCCATCATGTTCTTTTTCATCAGCTTTTAACCATCAACCATATAGCATACTTGTTAAAATGAGTAAATGCACCGAAATCCACCCCATTTGCCCAGTTGAGGCTACGGTTTATGGCTACTACCCCAATGTCGGCGGCAACGCCTTTCTCTTAACCATCTTCATTATTTGCACTGTCTCACAGCTTTCCCTCGGCGTCAAATATCGGCTTCGTGCGTTTACGACCGTCATGGTTATTGGTTGTCTGCTCGAAGCACTGGGATACATCGGCCGACTGATGATGAGCAAGAACCCCTGGAGCGGCGTCGGCTTCCGTTTGCAAGTCATCTGCCTCATTCTCGCCCCGTCGTTCCTAGCCGCGGGAATCTACCTCACGCTCAAGCACCTCGTTCTCTACATCGGCCCGGAGAATTCACGTCTTGCCCCGAAATGGTATACTTGGATTTTCATCAGCTGCGACGCAATCAGCTTTCTCATGCAGGCAGCCGGCGGTGCGGCTGCGTCCTCTAGCGACGGAGGAAGCGCGGCCGAGACGGGAAACAACATCATGATTGCCGGCATCGCGGTTCAGGTTGTCACGATGGGTATCTGCGGCTTACTTGCTGTGGACTTGCCTGGCGGACGTTCAGGAACAGGAGCCGTGGGTCAAGTGATTCGAGTGCGTGGAACCAGCCAGCACAGCCTAGTTGGATGTTCCGTTTTTATCTGTCTGCTTCCGCGGCAGCCTTTATCGCCATTTTTATCAGATGCATCTACCGGTAAGACACGTTTGAGAATACACAGCGACAGGATTGTTATTAACTGTATGCCATGTAGTCTCCCGGAAATGGCTGGCGGTTGGGGCAACCCACTTATGCGCAAAGAAGAAGAGTTCATTGTCCTCGATGGCATGTAAGTTTGGCAGAAGTTGATGCATTTGGGGCGGCTTCGATGTTGACCTGGACCTCTAGGATGATTGCAGTTGCGTGTCTTCTGGTGTCAATTGCGCATCCCGGAATCTTCTTCCCTGCTATTAGCTCTCGTGAAGGAGAGACCTCGAAGACCCAGGCTAAGAGTACTCACCCGGTTGACTCCGAATATCCTATGGGAAGCGTACCCGCCTCCTCATGATCTACGCCGTGTCTACCACTACATCAACATTCTCGGGCTACTAACAAGGCTTCCAAAACCGCGAATGGGACTTGTGATTGGCTGCGCCGAGGCTTGGGTCAATGCGTCCGGCAGGTGCTTCATGTTGGTTTCTATTTGATTACACTATGGATTGCTCCGACAAAGTGGTCGGTAGTAAATGAGAGTTTGGACTTAAGTAGCTGTAAGTTATGATTGGTTCAGAGACGATAGAAGCCAAATAGATTGAGGGCAGACAATACATACACTTATTCACCTAGCTCGGGCTTTCAATCTGTCCGAGTAAGTCAACCAAGCGAATTTCCGCCCGTGCGTGGAGAGATTGACGAACCATAGCCCGAAAGCCAAGACTCCTGACCGTAAAATCACGAATGCTACCTCAGCGATCTTCCGGACCAGCCGGATGGAACGTTTGCAGTCTTGTCTAATAGAGGCAAGTCAACAACGTCCAGCATCTAGGTAAACTAAATGCTCAGTCTTCAGGTCTAGGCGCAGGAGAGGTTGCGAAAGCTGCAAGTCACCAAGCCGCTAGGTAAGACCAGCCTGTCAGCACTACACAATCAGTGGCTTAGCTGCTGACGCCGCGCCGCCAACATTGAGCACCGCACATAAATCTAGGCGTCGTCGTACTCTCTCGTACACTTTTCCTCATTCCAACTTACAACGCTCTATTTGTCGAAAATTTGAAGCTCATCCTGCAGTTATGCCGAGTCGACGTCCACACGTGAAGTCGCGTTTAGGCTGTGCTCAATGCAAGGCTCGTCGCGTCAAGGCAAGGACATCGATCTCACGGTCTGACTGTTGACTGACACAGAGCCTACTAGTGCGACGAGACGTACCCAAAATGCAGGAATTGTCAGCGGTTCGGGAAGAGCTGCTCATATGCATGGGCAGACCCGTACTCCAAAGCGGCGAATATTGCAGATATTTCTTCGCCAACTAGCAGTCCTGAAAATCACGCCATGGGGAGAGACATTCCTTCGATGGTCCAACTCACGTTCGACGCGCTGGACATGAAGCTGATGCACCATTTCTCCACATCGACGGCGAGGTCGTTGTCCTTGATCCCGGATGCACAGCATATATGGCAACACTCGATACCGAATTTGGCTTACGAACAACCTCTGTTGATGCATGGTATTCTTGCCCTGGCCGGAACACATCTCGCCTACTCCATATGTAGCATCGAGGATATGCCGCGGAGCCAGGTCTACGTACGAGCTCTCCATCATCAGCAACTTGGACTCCAATTGTTTCGCCACCAGCTGCAGTACCTCGAAGATACTACTGCCGAGTATGAACCTCTGGTCATGTTTTCCGCCATAATATGCATCTTGACTTTCGCTCAGCTGCAAACTACTCAAGAGAATTTCAAACTCACCAACATCCTTGAAATATTCGCCGCATTACGAGGGAAGCGAGCTCTGTGGGCGTCAGTAGGGAAAGCGCCTCATAGCCAGGAGTTGGCAAAGCTTTTGTACGAGCCGCGAGACTCCGAGACGCCAGGGTTTGAATCCGAACTGTTAGCACTGGCCGGTCTTCAAACTGCAGCCAAGAATCCAGTGCTGAAGGACGCTATCATACAATTACGACCGTCCTTAGTTAGACAGGCCCCTGAATTTCGGCTCGTTGGAGGCTGGCCTACAACTGTCTCTGACGACTTTATCACCCTCTTACAGATGAGGGATTCGATGGCACTACAAATCTTGCAGAGTTACTGTGCTGTTTTGTCATCTCTACGGGATCTGTGGTGGGTCGGGGATTGCGGAGAGAAATTCCGTAGAGCGACTGGTCTGTTGAACTGAGATGAGCTAATTGGTTTTTAAAGGACTCATTCCCGACCTCCTGAGGTCATGTGCTTGAATTACTATAGTGTTTCTCATCTTGTATTTAAGTATGCCTTCAAAGACGGCTCCAAGTCCATGGCAGCTTACCACCTCCTGCAGCATTACGGCTTCGCCAACCCGACAAGTCGGAAAGATCTCGAAGAGGCCATGGGTGTGGATCCTGTGTGCCCTCAGGAACTCGGCCATTCTTCCAAGACCATAAGTCCTTGTAATCCTCACTCAGTTTGCCCTCCAACATGTCAATAACATACTTGCCAATGATTGGCAAGAACTTGAAACCGTGATTAGAGCCAACTGTGGCGACGAAGAGGTTTTTAGTGTTGGGGTACGGGCAAACTCTGAAGTTCAAGTCTGAGGCAATTCCATCCCTGTTCTCGGTGTCAGCAGTTGAACCTGTCGTCTCTTTGCATGCATCAACACGATCTTTAAACTTACCAGCAAAGCTTGGTGGAAACGAATGGTCGATCAGCTAGCTCTGGAATCATCTCACGAACGAAGGTCCGCATTTCCTCCTCAATTTCCTTGGGACACCCGTCATCTGGGTAGTCCGCAAGAGAATGCGTCACTGAAGCTCCCGCAACATATCGGTTGCGATAGTTCGTGAGCAAGCGCACACTGCAGAGTTTGATCAACCCGTTCTCATCTGGTGGGAAAATGATGCCTAGGGTATGTTAGGAACCCATGTCAAGTTGCGTCCGATGCAGGGAATATTAACCGACCTTGTTCAAAGTCATCAATAATGGGGATGTCCTTGTACTTCTCAACCTCATGTGGCTCCAGCTTCATCACACAGATGACGGACGTTTGTGCCACAACCTCCTTCTTCGCATCCACTAGCGTCGCCGTGTTGGCACCAGTTGCGAGCACGACAATGTCAGCCGTGTAAATGGTACCGTCTGCAGCGATAGCGCCTTTGCAAGTTCCGTCGCTGTCATACAGCAGCTTCTTGACGTATCCGGCCTCTCCGCTAATGTACTTGACACCCTGGGCTTTCGCGGCGTTGGCCATTCTCAAGAGCGCCTGACCGGATGGCACCTAGAACAAGTCCCACGTCAGTTCACTCCACAACATCAAGTACTATTTATCATCATTGATAAGGAACTCACCCAACCAGCCACAGGACTCCAAAGATTCGTCCAGTCTGGGAAGTCGCCCGTCAGGACGGGCCACCTCTGCTTCATCTCTTCCGTCGACATGAACTTGACACCTTCACGGCCGGCCTTCTTCGCGGTCTCAACGGCGCTGTGGAGCCATCCCCGGGTCATGCTGTGCCCGCTCATGATCCACCCCGTCTCGCGGTACATGCCTGCAAAGATAGAGCTGGGATTGGTCCACTCCCGCATGGTCTCGTCGCCGAGCTTGGCGTACAGCGGGTTGGGGTAGTCGGCGCGGACGACCTTGTTCAAATCGGTCGCTGCTGAATCTTTGGAAGGCGCATCGAAGCGATCGAGGACTGTGACGGAGCTGTATCCACGTAGGGACATGTGGTATGCCGTGGAGGTCCCGAAGACGCCGCCTCCCACGATGAGAACGGATGGTTTAGACATTGTATTTGAGATGGATTGTGATGTTTCTCGCTGCAATGTTGCTGGTACAAAGCCGGTTCTTGGGGTTCGGTTGATTCAACTCTATTCTTGCGGCCCTTCCACGCGGTCAACTATAAATGGCTATAAAACAACAAGTTGCAATCGGCTCACAAAGCAAACTCGACCGATCATGAAGCCGACGCAATCTTCGGCGAGCGCATCGGCTTAAGCACACCGCAAAGTGCATTGTGAAGTACCCAACTTTCCCCGCGTTTGCGAACGTCAATCGATCCACAATGAAGAGCAATTCAAAGTGAGACGGCCAACAATACGCGCATGTTTGTACCCTCCAAGTCCGACGTCGATTAGCGGCAGACTAGGCAAATGCGTCACCTTGCCGCGGGAGACCCCTGGTCCAAGAGATACTGCACAATGCTCATCAACCAACAAGGATTCCACGAGCGGTCATCACGGAGGCGGGCACCAACTCCGTGAATGCCCAGGCTCCAAGAAATTTCAATCGGCATCAGACCGCCGATGTCGAAAGCGAGCCTGGCCGCACAAAAAGATAAAAGGAGCCATCGTCAGACCCGCCCGCCAGTTCGGTTTCTCGTGCTCTAGCGGCCGACTGATAAGTCACCGCATCCTTACGGGCTTCAATTTCCATTACCATCACCACCCCGCAATCCCGTGAACCCACCAGACCCGCCGGCAATCCGTGCATTAACAGCCGATACCTACGAACCGTGAGGACGTGTTGACCTCCGGGCGGAGAACGTTGCATTTGGGGCATTTCATCCGCTGGCCTCTTCCTTGTCCGCACCTATCTCGTGAGAGATAGCGTTATCGCCGATTGGGGGGAGCTTTCCGGCTTGGACCTGCCCATCGCTGAGGTATCTCGCACAGGGAGATACCTCTAGGTTGGGCAACATTGAGGGATTGGAGGTTTTGAGGAATTGAGCTGCTGATCAAAGTCGGCCAATGTGTGCTTATTGCCGTCTCTACCTCCGTCCTTGTTGAGGCCAATTATTTAACAGCGTCCTGGGACCAGACTTGAGGTGCCTTAACCGGGAACGTTTTGGCACGAGGACGTTACTACCGTCCAAAGCAAAGTTCAACATGGCGACCGGTATGAAGACCGATAACGAAGACGCAGTCAAGGTTGACTCCCAGAAAAAGAAGTACGATACCACCGACGAGAGCAGAGCCAGTTTTGAAGGACAAACTACGGAATGGTCGGCTAGGCCGTTGCCGGAACTTCTAAGGGACTTGTCAGAGGAGGAATTGGAGAAGCTTGAGAAGAAGTTGATTCGAAAAGTCGATATGCGAATGTTGCCGACCATGATCTTGATCTACATTATGAACTATCTGGACAGGTTAGTTTCTGAGTAGTTCAAAGCCCGGGTTCCAGACTTACCGACTGATTAGGAACGCCATCGGATCAGCGAGACTGGGAGGTTTAGAAAAGGATCTAGGATTAACGGGCAGCGAGTTCCAAGTAAGCAATCTTCAGCCCATGCTCTATTTCAATGCGAACGACGGCTGACGACTTTGGCACTCAGACGTGCGTATCGATCCTCTTTGTCGGATACATCTTGATGCAGGTACCGTCCAACATGTTTCTGAACAAGGTAAGACTGAAAACCCAGCCCAGGACGATTGGAAAACAAACTGACGAATATTTAAAACAGATCGGTCGTCCTGCAATCTACTTGACAGGATGCATGGCAGTCTGGGTAAGCATGACGTTTCCTGGTTCCATTCCCAGTCAATTAAGCGATCTACCACTTCCCGCTGCCCATCATCGCACGGCTGCATTGCATGAGTGTAACGTGACTGGGGATGCCACAACCGGATCTCGGGTTGTGTAACCACACATCACGGAACAGTGTTTTGGCTGACATGAATTGCCAGGGAGTACTGTGTGCCTGCAGCGGCGCAGCGCATAGCTTCGGCGGTCTCTTGGCAACTCGCTTTCTTCTTGGTTTCGTGGAAGCAGCATTCTACCCAGGTTCGCAGCACCCAATAAGTCTCCCATTGTAGGATCGCATTGCTAACGAAATGCTCGAACAGGATGTCTTGCGACCCTGAGTGCGTGGTACGTCCGCAAGGAACTCGGCGTTCGGACCGGCCTCTTTTACAGCGGTTCAATGCTTTCCGGAGCCTTCTCAGGCCTCATCGCCGCAGGAATAACAAACGGCATGGACGGCCTCGGCGGCCTGCTCGCGTGGCGTTGGCTCTTCATCATCGAGGGCTCGCTGACGGTTCTCATCGCCTGCGCCGCCTTCTTCATCCTCCCCGATTTCCCGGCAAATACAAAATGGCTCACGGAGCAAGAACGTCAGATGGCCATGTGGCGCATGGAGGTCGACGCCGCGGGCGAGGAGGACTGGACTTCGTCGTCCGAGCAGCCCATCTTTGCCGGGTTCAAGATGATCATGGTCGACCCCATCAACTGGATCCTCGTCGTGCTGGTGTACGGAGCGGCGAGCTCCATCTCGATCAACAGCTTCTTCCCCACCGTCGTGGGGAGTCTCGGCAAGGACCGCATCACGACGCTGCTCCTGACGTCGCCGCCGTATCTGCTCGCGTGCATCGCCTGTGCGGCGGTGTCGTGGAACGCGGACCGCACGAACGAGCGGTTCTGGCACACCGTTGCGCCGTTGGCCTGCTCGCTGCTGGGGTTCATTATCTCGAGTGCCGCGACGGGGATCGGTCCGCGGTACTTTGGTGCCATGATTATGCTGCCCGGCATCTACACGGGCTTCAACATGTCGATGGTTTGGACCGCTAACACAATGTATCGACCCGCTGCCAAGCGTGCGGCCGCCGTTGCATTTAACAACGCGTTCTCGACGCTGGCAGGTATTTACGGCTCGTACCTGTATCCAAACAATGCCGCCCCGCGGTTCGTGTTGGCGTTCAGTGTGAATGCTGCCATGGCTTTCATGGCTATCATCGCCGCTGTTGTACTGCACTTCGTGTTGAAGAGAGAAAACAGGAAGCTGGAGTTGAAGGAGCAAGAAGCTGAGGCTGCTGGGCAAGTGATTGCTGTCGGCAAGGGATTTAGGTATCTTATCTGAAGAGCCAGCTGATAGTACTAGTTGTGGCGAAAGTTTTAGTGTCCCAAATTATGTAGCGTTCCATCTCTGGTGTTCCCATATCTCAAATTATAACTCACAGTCAATGGCGCGAAGCCATTCAAGACTTTTGAAGACTTCGAGGTTTACGCGAAAGACGGTACAGCGCTGCCGGAGCTGATCGCAGTAGTCATGATACCGAGATAGTCCATCAGTACCTCGTCATCTTTGTGCAGGTCTTGCTGCGCCCAGATGGATCTGACTGTGTTCCTAACCCCCTCAATACTACGGATGCGCGTATCCCTCTGTGTCCTTTCGATCAGGTTGACAATGGCTAATCTTTGGTCGTCCCTGTGTGCTTCGCAAGCTAGGATGAGCAAGGGAAAGAAATGCTCACAGGAGCATGACTTAATAGGGCCCGCGAATGCGGCATCGACGAGAGCGTCGAGGTCTTCCGTCGCCTCCCACGGGCTTTGGGAGACTCGCGCAAGATAGATCTGCGTTGCTATTTGGTAGAGGTGGACGGCAAACATGGCATCAGGCGTGGGCTCGGCGGAGGCTGCCTCGATGGAGACGTTTCCTACCCTGCTCTTCAAATCTTGGAGATGAGTTTGGTACTTCGTACTGCTGGTCCGGGGATCTCTTGGGTCGAGAACTGTATCGCAGACTTCGGATAGCAGATTCAAGATCGCATATGTAGGATTGACGGTAGGATGGGTCTAGGAAAGAGCACATCAGTGGAAGCCAACGAGGCTGGTGATGGAGAGATCCCTCACAAGTCTGTGCCTTGTCAAAGAAATCTGTTCAGCAACTTGGAGCCCACGGGCACTTCTTGATGGCCCCTCTGCAACCAGTGAATTGTGTCGCCAATGATGCATAGCGAAGCGTGAAAGTGTTTCGTGATAGTGCACCCATTGAAGGAGCCGACCCGTGTCGTTATTAGGCGTTTGATCCCTCAGGGGAGTTGCTTGTACCATGTCTGTAGCCCCCCATACATGCAAAAGCCATTCACTAGTGCCCTCAAGTGGCTGCAATGTCTAGAGCTTAATGTTAGGACCTACGTTCTGCCAGCCAATTTCAATAGACACTCACTTCGAACGCCCCTAGAAGCATAGACGCAGCTACGTGTTGTGCAGCTTTCCCTGAAGTCAAAGTATCGCCCTTGACCGAAGCCGAGAGCGTCTGGAGAGCGCGGCCCTTGAGCTGTATGGTATGCCCATTGAGACCATGGCGGTGAAGCGAAGAGAAGGCGAGTAAAGCGTGGAAGAGAGCGACGCCGGAGACTTCATCATGCACTAAAGCCATCCCAAGGAGTACATCCCGTATCTCAGAAGAACGTTGGCCAAATGTGACCAACGACACATGAGCAAAGTTATGGACTGCCAAGTATTAGAGGTTGACAGTGGATGTCCAGCATAGAGGCTTACAGTGATAGATGAGGTCCATATGATGGATCTGCTGATGAGGCTGCAATCTCAACTTTGGGGAAGGTTCCAAGGGGCGAGAAAGCCGTGATTCTCCGGCCCTATAGCCGTACTCTTCCAGATCCTGTCCAAAGGTATTCAGGAATACAGCTTTGCCAGACTCCCGGCGGCTCGGAAAATTGACAATATCCTGAGTGATTTTTACAGTTATTGCACGCTTTCTGTCGTTCTGTCTGGGCCAGGAAAGCCGAATCTCATATCCATGGCATTCTCTCCTTGACCTTGCGCACTTTTGGCACTTTGGCCGAGTTCCGTCACATTGGATCTTGCGATCTAAACAAAGCGATTAGATGGTCTCTCTTACCTGCATTAATATTATGTACTTGGTGTCATCACTGACCTGCGCATGTCCAGCAGCCTTTCCGGACCTTCATTTGAACGACGGATGGACCGGATATGTTGGATCCGGGCACGGCGAGTTCTGAAAGCCGACTTCTGGGGAGATCAGACCCCCGTAAGTCGAAGGGCTCGGAGAAAGTTGCTTTCGATGGGGTTGCTGACGCTTTTATTGACTTCGCAATGCAGCCACAAGTCTGACCATTTGTAAGCTCCCCTAAGCCCTTTCGAGATGTCTTACTCCGTGGCTCAACCTAGCGGCGATTGGTTGTTGGGGTCAGACTGCGACGAAGGATTCCCTTACCCCACACGAAGCAACTTTTATCGACGCTAAGAGCTGCATGATTGTCTCTGATTTTGGGTAGTCCTGAATGCTCGCGCCATTCGGCACTCAACTTGCTCCGTGAACTACTGTTGCCAGACATGCACGCGAGTTCACTACGGATGATGGGTGTGCGACGACAAGTTGACGATTATCAATCCGAAGATGATCTTCTTTCCAAGAAACCCCGGGGAGGAGATTTCGATATAAAGCGGCGTCCATCCAACCTAGATGGACAACAGTGAAAGCAACAATACACAGGTTCCACACAGATCATCTTCTTATCGCTCCTACTTAAACAACTTACCACTGCTATCATCCTCACATATATCCAACATGTCCACCTATCTCATCACCCAAGCAACCGGCCAGCAAAGCCGTTGGGTCATCACCCACCTCCTCGCCGCGGGCGCCAAGATCCATGCAGTCGTTCGCGACCTCCAAAAGGTCCCAGCCGTCCTCCAAAGCCCGAACATCACCCTGTTTCAAGGCGAGAGCAAGAACTTTGACGACATCTACCGCGCCGCTCGGGGCTGCAAGGGTGTCTTCCTGAATACCGTCCCCTTCCCCGGCCTGGAAGCTCTCCAGGCCAAGACCGTCGTCGACGCGTGCCGCAAAGCTGGCGTCGAGAGCATCGTCGTGGCCACGACGCACGGCACCGCGAACAGGGCCATGTGGGACGACGACGCGACCAAGAAGATCCAGCTGCATGATTACTTCGCGTCCAAGGCCGCTGTCGAGGAGATTGTCCGCGGCGGCGGGTTTGAAGCGTATACTATCCTCCGGCCGGCTGTCATCCACCACGATTTCTTCGTGCCGGGAGCGTATGGCAACTTCCCGCGGCTGCCGGCCCACGGTGTACTGGACCATTTGCTTGAGGACGGGGCCAGGGTGCCGTATACAGATGCCAACGACGTTGGAAGGTTTGCGGCGGCGGCCTTGCGGGACCCAGTCAAGTTTGGAGGTCAGGAGATTAATCTCGGAAACGAGATGCTCACCATTGAGGAGGTACGAAATATCTTGGTCAGGGTCAGCGGGCGAGAGGTGGGCGTGGCGAAGCGGACTCTTGAGGAGGTTGAGGCGATGGGTATAAGCGTTTTTGGTCAGAGGTTCCACCTCATGGCGAACATCAAGGATCTCAACTGGACCGTCGCAAGTGCGAGGGAGGTTGAGGAAAAGTTTGGTATTCCTCTGACTTCTGTCGAGACGGCTCTGCAGAGGGACAGGACACTCCTCTTGGAATGCCTGCCGGTCAACTAGTTTTCTCATTACTCGGCGTCTTCACGCGATTAGGCTCTTATCTGTTTTTAGAATGATGTCTGATATCTACTACATTCTGTTCGTAGGAAAAATATGGGACGCTCTTTGAAATGAGTCTTAGGCTCATCTCTTTCTCTGTTGAATGCTTTTCTACTGCGATTCATACATATGTAAAATACTCAAAGTCCATATTCTCTAGCGATTTTCTCAGCAGCAATTTGTCCAATAACATACGCAACAATTTGAGGATCTGTAGGAGAACATTAGTAGGTTGATGATAAGCGCCCACAGCAACTAGTACAGCAGACTGCGAGTTTACGGATCAACTTACGGCCACTGTGAGTGATGCAGTCAGCTATCTATCCTGTATGAAATGCAGTCAATGGTTATACATACCTTGGGAGCATGGACGTCACGCTCAAATCAGCAACTCTCAGTCCGCTCAGCCCATGCACCTTCAGATCTGCATCGACGCAGCTGCCATCCTGCTCAGTCTTGCCCATCCTAACACTACATGAAGGATGCCACAAGCCGGCGACATTTTGCTCGATGAATTCCTGGACTTTGTCAGCTACCGAGCGAGGTCTCTTTACAGTGTAACATACCACAATGTCTTCGTCGCTGTCGGACTTGGGTGCAAAGATGGGCCTCACAAAGTGCTCCTTCATGGTCGGTGTTTGCATCAGTTTCAGCCCCTCCCTGAGCGCCTCTCGCAGGTTGACGACGTCGTATGGGTGGCTCAGGTACTTTGGGTCGACCGAGGGCGGGTCGTTCGGGTCGGCGGATTTGAGCTTGATCTGACCGCGAGACTGGGAGTTCATATTCGCCACGAAGACGGAGAAGAATCCGTCATCTGCGCTCTCGAAGGCGTGGTTTGGAGGGATCAGCGGGCCGATCTTGGAGAGGGCAGTTGTGTTAGTCGGGCATGTTAGTCTGCGGTAGTGTTGTGGTGCAGACTTACCACCATCTCGTAGCTCGGAACACCTGGCTTCAGCAACAGATCTTTCGCATCTTCAGGGAGGGCTTCAAATTCTGGGGAAGCGTAGGCCCTATCATTCTTCAGGAACGCGTGCGGAACGGATGAGAAGTGTCCCAAGAGGGGCCCGTTTCCGGTCTCGGTGAGCTGCTTGATGGCTTCTTGGTACTTGGCCGGATCAGCCAGGCCCATTCTGTCCGTGAACCCAGGCTTCATCTGGAAGCAGGTGACAATCATGGGATGGTCCGTGAAGGACTTGCCGACCCCGTCCAGGTCTTTAACAACACTGATTCCGAGAGCTTCGAGGTCTGTCCTAGGACCGACGCCTGAGAGAAGAAGTAGCCGTGGAGTGTCCAAGGCACCGGCTGAAAGGATGACTTCCTTCTTTGCGAGTACTAATTTGCACTGAGTGAGACTGGCATGATGATAAGTTGTCGACACTACTTACACTGCGACCCGTCTTCCTTCACAACTCCAATGGCGCGATCCTTTTCAAATAGAATCTTGACGATGCGGCTCTCCGTCAGGATTGTCAGGTTGGGCGGAACGTGCTTTTCTATGAACGCCGAGGCGCTGGTTGTGCGCACGCCGTTTAAAGTGGTTGATGAGTTCAACGAGAAGCCAATTGGATCTCCATCATTGGGGTCCAAATTGCGTTTGTGCTTGCATTCGTTAGAAGCGATAAGCAGTCACTTTGGGTGAGCGACTCACCCCGAGATCAACCCCAGCGTCGATGAAGGACTTGGTCTCGCGCTCAACGTGTCCGATAGAAACATCCACAGGTCTGAACCAAGATTAGCTGGCGAACCATATGAACGATAACGACACCACAGACCCAGAATAACCATGATACTTCGGATCCGGTCTGACATATCCATCCCACTCTTTCCCCAGCCCATCTGTGTGCAGATTCTCCAACTACTAGACGTCAGCCTCCCCCCAAGAACCCAAAAGAAATCATCCTGACAAACCTGCTTCACCCTCTCAACAACACTCTTAAACCCCCAAACCTCATCCCCAGCCGCCTCCGCCCACGCGTCAAACTCCGCCCGCGCGCCGAGCGACCACACCTGGAAGTTGACCGCACTCGAGCCACCCAGACCCTTCCCGCGCGCCTGCGGCACCTCGCGGCCCCGCGCGTGCTCCTGCGACGTCGAGACGTACCCGTAGTCCAGCCCCGGCTGCGCGATCGTGAAGTAGCGCTCGGCGGTGCGGCGATACTCGGGCTTGTTGATGTCGCCGCCGCCCTCGAGCAGCGCGACGCTGGGATTGGAGGACGTCGCGGCGAGGCGGGCGGCGAGGAGGCAGCCGGCGGTTCCGCCTATTGGGTCGGCACAGGTTAGCCGCAGAGCGGGCGTGGGAGGGGATATTGGGAGAAGCCCCTCATCTGATGTTGGCGAGGAGGGTTTGGGGGGACTTACCACCGACGATGACAAAGTCGAATTCCTGCGTCATGGCGAGATTCTCACGATGGGAAGTTTGCGTTTGAGCGGGAGGTAAGGGGATCAGATGAACAAGATTGCCTTAAATACCACCCTCGGCGCTTCTCCTCATTCTAAGGCTGAGAATTGCTTTTCTCCCTGCAGAATGAACTATCGACATGTGTCTCTCGTATTGGGTGAACCAAATCCACATGGTCCGCTGCGGCTAAGGTTTTAGTATCACGGATCGGCGGTCGATTACTCGGCATTTCCAAAGTTCCAACAGACTTGGAGGTTAATGGCGGGCAACGGGCAGTGGAAACGGGGACGATTAACATCCCCGGAAAAGCATGTTACCCCAACGTAAAGTTCCCTGGCTTCTCCAACAGCTTGTCAACTGTCACTGCTGGACTATTGCCGAATTGGTTGGGTTTCCCGATGTCGTGCGACGCTGACCATTGGGGTTCGACGATCCCGATATAACCTGTAAGCTGGAGCTGTGGTAATTCAGTTGGTGTGCAGAGTCGGATGCAGAAGCGGGCTGAGCTGAGGTGACGGATCCTGTGAAGGATGAGTCTTGTGGCATATAATTGATAATAGGTTTGCTTTTATTGACTTGGATGGCAAGACGGAGAGATGTCCGCACCCTTAGTTGATGATCTTCTTCAAGACAGAGGTTCAGCCGCTCACGATGCTGTAAACAATCCCATCCACAACCCCACATATATTATTACTTCTTCGCCTCAATCGAATTGGCAGCTGAGATCTTACATCAAAGCTAGAGAATCTTTATTCTTGGCTGTGTGTTGGGCATCAAACATGGTAGTCTATCCGGGGCTCGGCCGAGTAACCCAAAGACATCGTCTCATCTCATCAACACCCAGATCGCACCTCGCCTAACGCCGAAAGTCACACAACAAGGTGTTCAACCATCTACACCACGGGCCGAAGATAGGCATACCTCTCACCTACTAATCAACTCCTTCACCTTCTTCAACGCATCCTCCTTCACCACCCCCATGGGCGGCTGCACATCAACCCCGACAACATCCTCCTCATCCTCCTGGGCCGGGTCCAGGCTCTGGAACTGGCTATGCACGAGATTCGCGCCGGCAAAGTGCCCGTGCCTATTCTTGACCCTCTCGAACAGCACATCCTCCGGCGCGTGCAGCGTCACGAAGTTGACAAAGATGTCCTTCTCCGGGTGCGACGCGCCGCGCAGCTCGTCGCGGTAGCCCCGCTTCAGCGCGGAGCAGGTCACCACGACGCCGCGCAGCCCGTCGCGCTCCAGCTCCTTGAGGGCCTCGTCGCGCAGCGTGTCGAGCCAGCCCCAACGATCCGAGTCGGTGAGCGGCTCGCCCCTGTGCATCTTTTCCACGTTTTCTTTCGGGTGGTACTGTAATCGTTTTCCGCGGGTGTCAGTGTGTTACCTAGGTATGTTTTAAGGAAGAAGGGGGGCACGGACATCGTCGCCTTCGATAAAGGTCATGTCCAGGGCGTCGGTGATGTGCTTTGCTATCGTCGTCTTGCCGGTGCCCGTCGGTCCCGTCAGGAAGATGATGTGTTCTTTCGGGCGCGACATTTTTGCGTGGGCTTGATTCATTCAATACTCGCTTCAAATGGAAAGGCTTGGCGGATGCTCATCAACGGGATGGCCGACTCAAAGCGGTCTCATCGGTGTTCTCGGACGGGGGACGTTCAGGCGCGATGGGTGAGGTTGCTTTAACGTTGTCCGCCAATGCGTTTGAACGAGGTGGCGCTCTCAATAAGGCAATAGTCGAGAAGCGAGGTGGTGGACAACAGAGACGAGGGCACAGGCTGATGGTTCGCAGTGGCCAGGAACAGGAACAGGAACAGGAGGCTCCTTCAGACTTTCCATTCCTTCCGGTTGTCTGATGTTTGGCCGCCTGTCGGCCGTGGTGTTCGTTCGTTCCCACTTGGGTTTTGCCTGCCGATGGCGTTCGGATGATGTCATGCGGCCCCGACCGTGGCAGGTGTGTCTGTTGAGGCGAACGCTGGTTCGTGTGGCTTGCGTGAGAGAGAGAGAGAGAGAGAGAGAGAGAGAGAGAGAGAGAGAGAGAGAGAGAGAGAGAGAGAGAGAGAGAGAGACAGGGAGCATGTTGCCCCTTTCGTACCCGCATATCTCGTTCTGGATGGATGAGAAGGGATCAGACAACTTCCGGAACATCAGGAACTCTCAAACGAGTTTGTTTGCGATGCATGCACTGGAAAGCTTGCCCATGTTCAATGTTGCGAGAGTCAGGGATTTGGTCCAATCAAGGGAAATTGAATATGCATGTCCGTTTTCCTCCCATTTTCCGCCCGTGGGTAACGGCACGGGTAGCGGCATCAAAGGGAACTATCAGCACGAATTGCCGTCATTTGGCTGAATTTCGGCAGCAGGGAAGGACACATCTGATGTCATCCGATGCGATCATTTAAACAGCGGCATCTGGTATTCGTCAGGTACAGGAAGTGACTGATCAAAAAGTTGCCTGCCTTCGACGAAGTGTCTCTCGAGGGCTAGGCAAGGTGGGTTGCCGTCTTAGAGCTAGTTTCCACCAGACCCCTCAACAACCAATAGGCATCGGTCTATTAGTCTAGTTGGTTAGGACGTCGGATTCTGATTCACACCCAGACCTTCCGTAAGCCCAGGTTCGAATCCTGGATGGACCTATCTTTTGTCTTTTTGAACGCCCAGGAGAATCCGTTAGTTACGTATCAGGTGTAATTATCAGGTGGATGCCTCCTGCTTTTTGAAGTTTCGAATCTGCACCCAAGTCCGGAGTTCTGGGCCCTCCTGACGTTGTTCTTTTGGCGTCTGCGGCCCGAGATACAGCAGGAAGGACCGCCCACGATGCACGCTGTACGGCAGGAGCATGTCAGCCACAGTGCTCCTTCCTAGGTAGTTGTCTGGTTGGGTGCATGCAGCAAGCACGCACTGAGGAGGTCTTTCACCCTGGTCGAAACAGCGCTGCTGCCCATTCTTCATCCCCGAACATCAAACCACAAACATCAATCATCTCGTCCAACCTGTCGTCGTTCTGTCACTTTTTTTCTCTGCTGCCTCGCGGACAGTTCCCTCGTATTGGTCGATATCTTGCTATTCTTTTTTTCATTCCGACACAATGGCCATGCTTTCTATCCATACCGCACATCGCCCGCACCCTCTCGGAACCAGTCATCCGTCGCCAACGCCTCTTCGGAGCTCGCAAAGCTGATGATGGTGCTCTTGGTCGTCGTGTACGCCTGGTACGCATCGATGCCGTTCTCGCTGCCAACGCCGCTCGCGCTCTTCGCGCCACCCCACGGACTGCTAGGATCGTTTCGATGGTGCGTGTTCACCCACACGATGCCTGCGTCAATCTGCTCCGACACTCGAAACGCCTGCGCCACGTCCCGCGTCCAGATGCCCGCTCCCAGTCCGAATTCGCTGTCGTTTGCCTGCGCGATGGCCTCCTCCTCCGTCTTGAATGCCGCCACCACAATCACCGGCCCAAACGCCTCCTCCCGCCAGATGCGCGTCTTGAGGATGTCGCCCCCGGACTTGGACACCAGCACCGTCGGCTCGTAAAAGTATCCCTTTGAGAAATCAGTCCCGTCGAGTCCGCTCGTGCCAGACATGCGACGACCCCCAACCAGCGCCTCGCCCTCCGTCGCAAGCGCATCGTCCACAAGCGCCTCCACGTTCTTCAGCTGCTTCGCCGAGATGAGCGGTCCCATCATGGATTCTGGGTTGCTCGGGGACCCCATGCGTCGCGTGATGGATTCCGTCTTCGTTTTGAGCTTCGAGACCAGCGTCTGCAGGGTCTTCTCCTCCACGAGGATCCTCGTGCTTGCCACGCATGTCTGTCCGCTGGCGATGAACGATCCAAAGGCGATGCCGTTGACTGCGACGTCAATGTCGGCTTGCTCAAACACGACCAGCGGCGCCTTTCCTCCCAACTCTGCCGTGTACCGCGCCAGATTGCCGCCCACGATTGACCCGATGGCTCTGCCTGCCAACGTCCCACCTGTGACGTCCACCTTGCGGACGAGGGGGTGCTCAACGAGCGCCTTGCCCGTCGTCGCGCCGTAGCCGGGCAGCACGCTGAACGCACCATCAGGCACGCCCGCCTGCTTCAGGATCTTGCCGAGCAGCAGCGTGGTGAGGGGCGTCAATTCGCTGGGCTTCACAATGACACTGTTTCCCGCGGCAATTGCCGGCGCGATTTTCTTGACAGCGATGAGCAGCGGGTGGTTGAAGGGGGTGATCTGCACAACGACGCCAAGGGGCAGGCGGTCAATCCAGTTGTGCAGCTTTCCCACGGTCGGGAGCACCGCACGCTCTTCAGTGCGCAGCAGCGCAGCATAATACTTGAACCACTTGACGAGTGTGGGCACCTGCGCGCGCATCTCGCGTATCGCGCGTCCGGTCTGCTGCACCTCGAGGGGGATCAGGGAAGGGAGTTCCGCCGTGAGGAGCTCCGCCGTCTTGTCGAGGACCTCGGCCCGGACGTGGCGGGGGGCCTTGGACCAGGTCCCGGCCTTGAACGTGTTGTACGCGACGCGGATGGCCTCGTCGACATCTTCAGCGGATGCGGCGTGACAGCTGCACGTTGTCGGATGGTTAGAAACAAAGACAAGAAGTGCTCAGTAAGCTTGACAGTTGTGACGGGCATGACAGCACGGAGAAGGATTGGGGGAGAGGGGACTGAGTGCACTCCAGTGACCCAACGGATGCAAGCCTTACCTTGCAAAAATTTCGCCCGTCGCAGGGTCTTCGACTGGAATCCTGTTGGCACCGTGTCAGCCGCGAGCCATTGAGCTTGAGCCACGAGCATGAAGCACGAGCACAGATGGCCATGCAGATATTATGCGCGCGCGGGGTCAACACGTAGAAGAGAAGAAGGGAACGTCACGAACTGCTCTGCATGGCCCGGCTTCTCCTGGCCTCCCACCCAGAGGTTGAACGCCTGGGCTGTCATCCTGTCTTCTCAGCTGTCCTGTCAGTCTCGAAGGTTTTTTTCGTCCGTGGAGTCCTGTCCAACGAAAGAAGAGAATGTTTCTTCGAGGCCGCTTTGCTTTAATCGGGGAGGTGAGAGTTCAAAAAGGCCCATTATGTCTTCATGCGGGGCACAATGCGGGATACATGCGATTAGCTCCCCCTCCCCCTCTCGGCCGGCTCCGTGTTGGTGGCTTCAGTCTTCTTCCCCGCCCAATTTCCTGTCTAGGTAGGTGTCGGTCCCCTCCCGCAGCGTCGCCGATAACAGCTCGCCATTCCATCCCGGTCATTGGGCTTGTTTGTCAACCAATCTCGTAACACGACCACAGACAGGGGATGATGCTGGGCCCCCTTCAATCGCTCGCTTGCTGCAAGATTACAGCCGGGTTCGCCGTTAAAAAAGACCAAGGCTAGAAGCAAAAGAGAGACTCTGCCAGCTCGAGAACGGATGGGGAATACATCACAGCTCGCATCAGTTGGCGCGACTAGCTGCAGGCCAATACAACTTATACTTCAAGGGGGCACGCCCTCCTCGCTCGGCTGTTCTTGGTGGTTTATGGTTGGTCTTGGTACCCAAACGCACATGCTTTGCTCGACAAAGGCTGTTTCTCGGTGCTGCAGCCAGCAGGCGCAATGAACCATTTTCGAACTGGAGGCATGCGGTATGAAGTATCAGACCGTGCTTCGTGCTTCAAACCTACAGGAAACCTCCGTGACAGCAGTAGTTGCTGCTGGCCCTGCATACTGTCAATGTCGACCGCTCTGCCTAGCTGCCATGGACCTGGGCCCGGATTTCTCCCATGCCATCACCGGATGCCATCTCGAGCATGAATGAGCTGGGAGGAATATAAGCTGGCCATCCGAACGACGGTCCAGAGACGACACAATGAACGGGCTTTTAGGGAAAGGAGCCAGCCAAATTTGACATTTGCCCTCTCTCTCTTTCTTTTCCTGTTTGTGTGGTTTGCTTTACAACGATACCTGACGGCTGGATTGATTCCCGTCTCTTTGCTCTCCCTAATCTTCCTTTCGCGGTCAACGGCCTGCGGCCGGAAAACTTCTCGCTTTTCAGAGCTAGAGCACCTGGATAGTGAATCCAGCGAGATCGACCGCGGATCCTTCGTTTCATTTCCCTCTTTTCTCAACAACTTCCACAAGAAACGGGCAAACATGGAGGTCATACGCACCATCTTCAAGCGCAGCAAGCCAAAGGTGGTTCAACCGCCAAAGGTCCCCACCGACGATGTCTATCCCGTCCATTTCTTTGACGACACGAAGCCATTCCGTGGCATGCTCCTGAACTGGACACTTCGCTTCGACGATGTCCTCGACGCCGACAAGCTTCAGAGCTCGTTGTCGCGGTTACTTGAGATCGGAGACTGGAAGAAGTTGGGCGGTCGCATGAGGCTCAGCGTAAGCCCCCTCCCCTTGCTCCCCCGCACACCCACTTACACGATACGCTTGCCTCAACTGAACCCAAAACACACACAAGACTAACTAACATCTCTCTTCTAGCCCGATGACAAGCTCGAACTCCACGTACCCGAATGCTTCACCCCGGAACGCCCAGCCATCCGCTTCTCTCACGATGTCCATGA